GCATTCGAATTATTTAATCTGAATACATTTCAATCCGATCAAAAAATTTTGTGCGTGTAAACATAGCAAGTGTGTCTCAAGGGGCCATGAAAGGTGTGTGCGAAAACGAATGCCAAACAACCACGTATTGCGTGTTGTCTGCCGATCGACCATACTGAGCCCTAAACTGTTGGATTGACAACCAAGGGGAAGGGACATCTATAGATTGATTGGAATTAAATTAAAGTTTGTTTGGTTAGTGACAAATAAAATTTTGCTATGATAGTTTTTCACAAACACTGAAGAGCTACTTTAAATGAGCTCAGGAGCTACCGGTAGCTCACAAGCTACTGGTTGGCGACCCCTGGTCTAGATTCTCATCTTCTCTCTACTTATAGTATATTTTGATTAAATCAAGTGAAAGCTCAATGTCCTTCAGGATCTTATTTTCCTTTGTGAAAACATTTGGCTTAATGTTTTTGTTGTAGTTTCTATGTCTGATTCCACCGCTGGAATTCAGCTGTTAGTCGATATGAAGCAGAGCTGGGTTTGGCTCAGCAGCTCACTCTGGATATGACGGTCTGATTTAAGAGGACATCTAAGAGATCAGATAAATTCAAAAAAATAATTACAGTCAGATTATTGGTCCATCAACGCACCAGGAAATTATGCACTGTGTAAATTATCTTTGTTTCCCTGCACTATAAATCCAACCCAAGTCTGATGCAGATGAAGTCTTCTTTTTACTCCTTCCCTTTAATCCTGTAGGGACTCATTTCAGAGAATCTGTGTTGATTCTCTGTCATTTGGGGCCTTTTTCAGAACTGAAGATGTCTTTTAGATGAGGTGTAAAAAAATCAAGAAAGGAAGCCCGTTTGACATCAATTTTAGCACTTGTGTTTGAAGGAGTCATGGATGAGTTGAGTTTTAGTGAAAGTCAGACTCTCTCAGGAAAAGAAGCATACATAATAAGAAAAAGAAAACAGCCTTCCAGATGAAGACTTTATGAGCTACAAAGATGCAGACATTGGTGAAGCCAAAAATGTTCAAGCAAATGTACAGTTTATAGTAATATTAGCATACAGGAGGAAATTCAGAGTACACAGAGGTGTAACTAAGTGACCTAGAAAGTGCGTGGGATCATCTGAGCTACATGAAGGTTGGAAGTCCCCAAATCTTGCTGGAACAGAAAACATTAAAATCCACGGAGACTTTCAAGTTACAGACAGGCCAGCAGAACCTGGCCCACTGACATGATAGGGGGGAGGTTCACAAAGAGGACAGCTGGGCCTGTGCTATTGTAACAACAGGAAGCAGCATGAAGTACCAGGAGCTATTTCAGCAGATCTAAACATTTGGGTTTCTCTGGTTAAACATGTGAGGTGTTTGTGGAAAAAGAGTGGCGGCTTCAGATCAGCTGACGGACTGTTCTGAATCTTCAAACTCCTGGGACTCTCCCACCCTCACACTCAAAACATGGGGCTCAGACGGCTTGTACTCAGTCCACCAATGACTCATGAAGTAAATGAGGATTTTTTTAAAGTACATCATGTAATCTTGTGTTTTAGGGAACAGTACTTAATACATGCTTTAGACTGCATTTTCTACTAAGATGTACCAAACATGGATAAGCAGTAGAAGATGGATGGATGGACGGACAGACAGACAGCAGGGTGCTGGAGTGTAGCTGGTAAAGTCTTATAAACAGATATATATATATATATATAGGTAAAGTCTTATAAACAGATATATAT